CAATAATAGACAATGAGTTGGACTATAAACCTACAAAATTAAATAGGAAGATAAGAAAAACATTGCCAAAAACTTTTTTTCACAATGATAGATGAATTAAAAATACAAGATGCTTGGAGGTGAAGCCATCCAAAAGAAAAGCAGTACACATTTTACTCAAATAGACATCTATCGTGGTCAAGAATAGACATGATGTGGATGTCAACAGAATTAATAGCTAAAATACAAGAAATTGATATTGGAATAAATGTATGGGTAGACCACAATCGAATAATAATGACATGGAAAGGGGGAAAAGAAAAATGAGATGGACTTTAAATCAAAAATTACTAAATGAAAAAAAATTTCAACAATATATGGAAAAAGAATTTACTTTCTTTTTTAAAGAGAAAAAGAAAGAAGATACATCTTTACAAAATGTGTGGGATACCAGTAAAGCATACATTAGAGGATTGGCAATGACATATTTAGGAAAACGAAATAAACAAAACAGACAAATGCAAAAGAATTTAGAGGAAGAATATAAGAGATTAGAGATGGAACTACAAAAAAACCCGCACGACAAAAAGATTAAAAATTTGTTGGATTTGCAAAAAACATAAGATGAATTTAATGGAAAATGAAGAATTGGTGAATAGAATAAAAGCTACAAAGCAAAACCTTTTTTGAAAATGCAAATAAACCAGGACGATGGTTAGTATATAAAATGAAAAAAGAGAAAGAAAAGAAATTAATAAGTCAATAGATCAAGATGGAAAGATATGTTATAGAAGTGAGGAAAAGAAGAGGATAATTAAGAAATATTACAATGGATTGTATCAACAAGAAATACTAGAAGAAGATGAGATAGAACAATATTTGAAGAAAATGGAACTGCCTACAATCCCGGAAAAGTTCAAAAAATTATTAGAAGAAAGAATATCTATGATGGAATTAATGGAGGGAATTAAAAGACAGGAAAAAAAGTATATTTTTATAGTTCATTGTTACCTCCACCATCAAAATTCTCCCATCTTCATCTGCAAAAATTTGCCTAGCGTTTATTGTTTCTTTTATGTATAAAGCTACTCCTTTTGCTGCGCTAAAGAGGAATATAATTTCCCAATTTTCGGATACTCCAGTAATTTATTGTTTTGTTTTTTAATATGGACCTCTTGAAGACAAATTAAATCTAACTTTAATTTTCCATATTTATTGAAAGTCCTTTTCATGGGAGAATTCAGTCCATTTATGTTAATTGACAATAGTTTCATTTCTTCTTCCATAATTTTACTTGTAGATAGGTCTTGTTGTTCTAGTCATTCTTGTTTTTCTCTGTTCTTTTATCCTTGTGCCTTCTTGTCTTGTTCTTTCCTCTAGTTTTGTTTCATCTTCTTTTTGTTGTATGTTTCCCCCTCCTGTAGCTTCCTCTTGTTTTCTTTCTTCTATTTCCTCTCTTGATCTTTTTTCTTCGTATGGCCCAAAATGTTCCGCTTTTTCTATAAAGTCCAGAATTGTTCCGCTTTTTCTATGGAGTCCAGTCTGTGTCTTTGTTCCATACAAGTCACCAGTATTCCCTCTAGTATCAGCCATCTGAAGTTTACTCCATGCTTAATTAGTTGTCTTGTCAAGAACTGGCATTGTTTCCTTGTATCCCTTACACTTCTAGGGATCTGTTTTAGGACTACTACGTATTTCTTTCCCTTTATATTTCAGTGGGTCATCTCTTACTCTTTGTAATATTTCCACCCTTATTGCTTTCTTGGTGAATCTCACACGTACCTCTCTAGGAAGTTTCACCTCTAAAGTCTCCACCAACAGTTCTGCCATTATCTCTGCAAGGTTTTCCCCTTTTTCTTCCTCAATATTCTGGAACCTCAAGAAATATTCAGCCGTAGCCATCTCCAATGTGATTTATTATTTTCTCTTGATTTTTGTCTGTCTATGTGAGTCTATAGTCCCGTGATGGCGAACCTATGGCACATGTAGCCATATCGGTGGTCATGCAAGCTCAGCTCCGGCGCGCATGTGAGCGTCGGTCAGCTGTTTTTCGGGCCTTCTGGGCCCACCAGAAGTAGGGAAACAGGCGGTTTCCTGCCTCCGGAGGACCTTGGTGGGAGTGTGCAGAAGGCCCATTTTTCTCTCTCCCCAGCCTCCAGAGCCTTTCTAGGAGTCTGGGGAGGGTGAAAATGGCCTCCCCCCCGAGACCCTCTGGAGGCCAGAAATGGCCCGTTTCCCAACTTCCGGTGGACCGGAAGTCCCATTTTTTGCTCTCCAGAGCCTTTCTAGGAGTCTGGGGAGGGTAAAAACGGCCTTCCCCGCCTCTCCCCCCCCCTCGGAGGCCAGAAATGCCAACAACGGGCTGTTTTCAGCCTCCAGAGGGCCTCTGGGAGGGTGGGGAAGGCCGTTTTCGCCCTCCCCAGGCTCCTAGAAAGGCTCTGGAAGCTGGGGAGAGCAAAGAATAGGCCTACCATGCCATCCTGTGCCGGGAGACGGGGGTCACAGGGGCAGGGCACATAGAATTATGGGTGTGGGCACGTGCACACGCGACCACACACACACGCTCCTGGCACGCAATGGCAAAAAGGTTAGCCATCACTACTATAGTCCATCTCCATTTTTTCTCTGTTTGTTCTGCTTTCTCTTCTACTTTCTGAATCCGTTGTTCATTTTTATTATTTGTTGAATATTCTCCATTTTATCATTCCATCTTTTCCATTCTTACCTTCATGTCTTCATGCAGTAATTGAATCATTGATTTCATTTCTGCCTGCATCGTATTCATTTTTTCTTGCTACAACATAGTGTCCAAAGTTCTTTGACCTACTGGGCTAGATGCTACCAATACTTGTGCTGATGATGACCCAGATGCATTTTCCCCTCTAATTTACTTAAGTTTGAAGTGCTTGTCATTTTGGGCAGCCTTAGAGGATTTAAGTAAGTTAAAGGAGGTAATTAATACTAACCCAGATGTTATAACACAAATTTCACAATCACCTACCAACTTTCCTCTTTTAAAAAGTCTTTTCAACAATCAAAATACCACAAAACCCCTTTTCTTTTTTCCCCCTCTTCTTATTTTCAATCTGCAAACAATTTCACTTTGTTATTGTAATCCAAAAAAAGTTGTTCGTTAGTCCGAGTTTTTCAAAAAATATTCTCTTCTTCTCTTGATAAATTTGTAATCCACATAGGCCCACCAAGCCCCAAAGCTTAGTCATCAAGGCTTATAAATCACCAAAAGGAGAGTTCAAAAAGGAGACGTTCCCTGCTATTCCCAGCTTCTGCTCACTTTATCTGTTTAGCTTCCACATAAGTTCAAAGAACTCCACTGTTTAAAAAGTCATGTTTCACTTTCTGTCTCAGCTATCCAGTATAAACAATTTGCTGGTGCAGGTGTTGTTTATAACAGCCAAGCTTATCTTCAGCAGACCTTCAAGGTCATATTTTTTCTCACTTTCACTTCTTCCTTTCACTTCTCTTGTGTTTTTCTCCACCAGTAGATGTCGCTGCTGCTCTATTTCTCTCCCTTTTCTCTCTCTTTAATTTATTTGATACTATTCAGTCCAAGCTTTTTTTTTCCAAAAAAGTTCTCTGGGTCAGAATTCCATAATCTAAAAAGTTTTCAACTTAGTCAATATTATAGTTAAGTTCCCCAGTTCAGCTTCCTAGCTTCAAATTTCTTTTTCTCTTCTGAAAAGTTCTCTTTTTCCAGATCTATAGATAGCTTGCTCACCACTTTTCTTGAGGGGTGGAAAACAAACAATTCCACCTCATCCTCTTTTCACCAAGGCTAGCTTTAAGGGGGCTCTTTCCTCAGCAGAAGTTGAAAAATCTCACCCAGATTGACCACACTGTTCCTCAGTCTTTTATGCTTTCTATATCGGTCGGCTGTCACAGCTTCATGCAATGGCCATCTTTTTCTTCCCACCAGATTGAGAGTTTAGTCTGGATCAATCAAAGAAGTTGCTTGTCTCCTTGTGATCTACGGAGTGTCCTCTCTATCTTCATCACCCCTCCAAGATGATTTGGGTCCCTCAGAACCTCCTAGCAAGTCAAATTTGGTGCAATTCCATGGAGCCCCTTGGAGATGTGCCATTTTGCTGTGATGTCAGCCCCGCCTCTCTTAGATGAATAGATTAACACTTGCAATTAAGAAAAAGGAACAAACTGAATATTTTATGATATGGGATTTATTTTATCAATGGTTAGATAACAAAAACAGAAGTTAGAAACATGGAAATATAAGGAAAAGATTAATGAAATAAGGGAAATTTGTTAAAATAGAAAAGTAAATATGATTATTATTTTTATTATTACAGAATTAATATCAATGTAATGAATATTGTTGTAAACATTATGATTACTATCTTTCAAACTATTTATACCCAGACAACACACTGATTGAATGAAAGACTTCCACTCATCTCCCTTCTTAATCCGTATTCAGTAATATGCTTTCCTCAAGTCCAGCTTAGTGAATACCTTCCTTTTGGATAGGTATCCTAGAATGTCCTTCATGGGAGCGGGGGGGAATACATGTTCTTGACACACACACCCCATAAATTCCACGCAAATCCACGTACAGTCTCATGGATCCATCCTTCTTGTTGAACAGTACAGGGGCTGGCACCTGGGATTTTTCTGGCTGAATGAATCCTTTCACCGGGTTCTTGTCCACAAAATTCCTCAACTCCTCCATCTCCCTGGGGGTCATTGCATACATCTTGGGCTTAGGCAGTTTCATCTCAATTGCACAGTCTGTAGGACGATGGGGAGAGAGCATATTGGACTTCTCACTGAACACTTCCACCAGGTCCCTGTACTCTCTTGGGATGTGTGTGCGCGAAGCAAACTGGTAGTAACACCGGTTGAAACCCACCATTGGAACAAGTATAAACTAAAGTATTTGAGAGAAAATGGCTAGTATATTAGGCATTGTACTAATACACTAAGACAGTGTACACTTCATTTTTTGTTTTTTAATATTTTAGCTTTTGTTTGTTTCTGTGTCATTCCAGGAAACAAAAATGTTGGCTGTGCAGTCACATCATTACTTGCTTCAGAGTTGATCAAGGAAGATGCTCTTGGTGCAAAAAAACCACGCAGAGGACTTAAAAAGGATGATGATGTAGAGGTCACTGAAGAAACTCTTGATGAAACCACTATGGGGGCAAGCAGTCGTCAAAACTAGAGCTGGGTGACACCTAGGACCAATGTCTTTGGCATGAAACCTGTTTTACAAAGGAGTTGAAACAACACTAAGTCACTTTGCAGTTTTCCCTTTCACACTTATATACATGGGATAAAGAGGCAAATAATTTAATCACTTCAGCCTGTGTCATTCTAGAGCTGTTTTGCAAGATCTTTAAATTTGTGATCATATTCTTTGAATCTTAAATTTGCTTTCTTCCTTCTTGTCTCAGTATCAGAAATGCAAAGGTTTTTGCTGATTTAGTAACATGCTTGGAACAAATGTGAGAGTTTATGCCTGTAGTTACCTACTTCCCTGCAGGCAGGATTGGGAACACATTCCCAAGAAGAAAAATATGGCACAGAAGAGAGGCTAAAGATCAGAACCTAATCTGCCCATGTATCTCACTGTATTGATGTTGCCAAAGCAGGAATGCAGCAAGCTGCCTTAATTATGACTTTTTAAATGTTTTGATTGGGCATCTGCATCCCAAGATTTTTTTTCTCAAAAGCCTTTTCTTCATTAGTGATAATAGAATGAACTGATCCATTCAAATATAGGAGGGAGGATTGTTGGATATCTTAGCTAGATTTGTCTTTTTCCCTTGCACTGTGCATTTTCTTTTCTCACTTGCTTATCATATACTGGGAAAGAAAGTGACTCAGAGATCATTTTATCACTGTGGTGACAGGGTTCTCTGCAAGCGTTGTGAAGAATTTTTTCTTTGAATTGAAATACTTTTACTGTTCTGCTCAGCTGCTCTTCCCCTTTTTAACACAAACTTACTAGTGAAATGGTAATATCAATGACCTATTGAGAAAGAAAGTATGGATAGTTTGCTGTTGCTGCACTTGCATGCTTTTGAAGTAAGATTAATAAAGTGATTTACTCAGTCTCAGAAAGGGATTTTAAGCCCTCTTTAGTTTGAGTGAAAATGCTCACTGCAACTGCAAAGGAATGAAGCTGAGATTGTGTTTCTTCACTGAGAATCAGTCATGGAAGACTGATTAGTAAAATTATGCATACATTTAATCTTTTGTGGCAAAGTCCTTTGTATAGTATAGCACATGGTTCCAAATATGCCATGTAAATTTCACATAAATTAAAGCTTGCTTACTTGCTTGCTTTAATGGGTAATATGTAAATCAATGTATGTTAATTGCTATATGGTGGTGGAGGTGGACTGGAGCCCCCTCCCCCCCCGCCTGCCCCCCAATCCCATAAGGCCACTTTGACAGTAGAACTAATTTTTAATGAAATTTGTTTAACAACGAACTTCAGTGAAGATAAAAGAAAAATAACAAATATATACATACAATTAAAATTGTGTATTCTCTGGTATTTCAGGGCAACCAACCACTATCTGCCAATAGACTTTCTCCCATAGCATGTAGCCAGCATGTATGCGTGGCAGAAAGAGAAATTTATAACATTGGCTGAATATGATGGGTCTCAGATATATGTTATGAACATCTGAAAACTTCCAGGGCAAATCATTGGATGCAGCCAATGTACAATTTTTAATGAAATTGATGCTATTCACTAGATAAAAAAATTAAGAAATATATTTTCATACAACTTATCTGGAATTGCCAATAGTCACGTGAATCTACTCGACTCATTTTTACTTTCCCCCCCCTCACAGATATAATACATAATCTCCCATATGAGTACTAAATAGCATACAGTATCTGAAAAATTCTGCAACAAGAAAAAGCAAATGTACACATAGAAGTCATAGAATCATAGTGCTGGAAGGTACGTTGGAGGTCTTCTACTGTAGTCCAATCCCCTGCCCAAGGCAGAAGTCCTTATACCACCCCAAATAAATGAACGTCCAATCTTTTCTTGCAAACCTCCAGCTTCCAGAACTCCAGAAGGTAAGCGGTTCCATTGGCTAGTTGTTCTCACTATCAGGAAATTTCTTGTTAGTTCCAGGTCAGATCTTTCTATAACAAGTTTCCCCCTAATGCTTTTCATCCTGCCCTCAGGTGTTTTGGAGAATAAATCAACCCTCTCATCTCTGTGATTGCCCCTCAAATCCTGGAAGACAATGTTGTCAGCCCTAATCCTTCTCTTTATTAGGCTAGACAGACCTACTTCCCTTAATTGTTCATCATATGGTTTAGTCTCCAGACCCCTTATTGTCTTATTGTCTTTGTTGCTTTTCTCTACACTCTTTCTAGGATCGCCAACAGCTTTTTTGTAGCATGAGATAGTACTGGACATAGTATTCTAAGTGTGATCATAGAGTGCCGTATAACATGCTACTATCACTTCCCATGATCTTGATGCTATCCCTCTGTTGATGCAACCTAGGACTGCATTGGGTATTTTTTGGGGGTGGGGGTGGTAGCTGAAGCACGCTGCTGGTTCATACTTAAGTGGTAGTCCATTAGGAGTCCTAGATCTCTGTCACAGTTATTATTTAGCCCAGAACTGCTTATTCTATAACTCTGCAATTGATTTTTCGTGCCTGAGTGTAAGATCTTAGTTTTCTCACAACTGAACTGCATCTTGTTGGATAATGCCAGTTTCTCTAATCTGTCAAGATCCTTCTGAATCTTAAGTCTGTCTTTCAAATTGTTAACATAATGAGTTCTCCTTCTATCCCTTCTTCTAGATCATGGGTGTTAGACTCAAGGCCTGTGGACCGGATCTGGCCCGTGGGGTGCTTAGATCTGGCCCACAGGGCTGCCCTGGAAACAGTGAGGGACCAGCCCACAGTGCCTCTGCCAGTGAAAACTGAGCTCACGAGGGCTGTGGGTGACCTTCCAGAGCTCCGTTTTCACTGGCAGAGGTTTGCAGGAGGCCGTCCCAGCCAAAAACAGCACTCAGGAACCTGTTTTCACTAGCAGAGTGCTCGGACCACCACAAGCATCCCCTGACACGAGTAACGTCAAGCTGGCCACGCCCACCCTGGCCCCCCAAGGTCAAACAACCCTGATGCGGCCCTCAATTAAATCGAGTTTGACACTCCTGTTCTAGATCATCTATGAAGATGTTGAAAAGTACTGGGCCCAAGACAACCTTGAGGTACCCGTCCTCATGCTTCCTTCCTTGTAGATGTAGGACCATTGAGGATTATATACTTGGTGTATGTGGTCAGCCAATTGTGAATTCATCTGGTGGTGGTACTGTCTAACCCACATTTTTCTGCCTTACGAAGAAATAGGCTGTGCTCCACTTTGTCAAATGCCTTACTGAAGTCCAGTCATACTATATCCACATCATTTCCCGAATCAACTAATTTACCATTTTATTAAAGAAGGCAATAAGGTTTGTTTGTCATGATCTGTTTTTAACAAATTCATGCTGGCTTCTATTAATCTTCTTGTTCATTTCTAGGTGCTCACAAATACACTGCTTAATGATCTTTTCTAGGATTTTCCTGGGTATTGATGATAAGGTGATTGGTCTGTAATTTCCTGGTTCCACTTTTTTTCCTTTTTTTGAAAATTGTAATAGTGATAGAGTTGGAAGGGATCTTGAAGGTCATCTAGTCCAACCACCTGCTCTCACACGAGATCTATACTATTTTTGATAGATGGCTGTCCAATCTTTTCCTAAAAGCATCCAGTGTTGGGGAACCCACAATTTCTGGAAGACTGCTATTATGTCACCCCTGATCCTTCTTTTCACTAGAATAGGTATACCCAAATTCCTAAAATCATTCTTCATGTTTTAGTTTCTAGGCCCCTAACTTTGTTGTTCTTTTCTGAACTCTTTTCAAAGTCTCAACATCTTTTTTTGTATTGGGGTGACTAAAACCGGATGCAGTATTCTAAGTGTGGTCTTGCCAAGGCTTTGTAGAGCAGTACTGGTAGTTCACGTGATCTTGATTCTATTCCTCTATTAATGCAACCTAGGATCAGACCCACATCAGCTCTTTTCCAGTCCTCTAGTAGATCCCCTGTGCTCCAGGACCTTTGAAAGATTTTATTCAGTGGTTCTGCGATCCTGTCTGCCAGTTCCTTCAGTATCCTGGCATGTAATCCATCTGGTCTGGGTAATCTCATCTTATCTAGAGTTGATAGCAGGGGTGAAATGCTCCTGATTCGGACCAGATCGCCCGATCCAGTAGCGATGGAAGGCGGGTGGTTCGGAAAACTGGTAGCAAAAATCCCTGCCCCCCCCATGCCCAGCTGAGCCATCAGAGGCTTTTTTTTTTTTACTTTTAAAAGCATTTTTTCTGCAACCTCTTCGGCGGAAAAAATGCTTTTAAAAGTAAAAAAAAAACCTCTGATGATCACACGGCTCAGCTGGGATCATCAAAGGCTTTTAAAAGAAAAAAAGGGTTTTTTTTCTTTTAAATGCCTCTGCCGATCCCAGCTGAGTTGCCTGATCGGCAGAGACTTTTTTTCTTTTAAATGCCTGTAACGATCAGGCAACTCAGCTTGAATCATCAGAGGCATTTAAAAGAAAAAAAGTCTCTGCCAATCAGGCAACTCAGCTGGGATCGTCAGAGCCTTTTGAAAGCATTTTTTACATGGTTTTTACTTTTAAATGGTTTTAAAAGAAAAAAATAATAATTGGCCACGCCCACCCAGTCACATTACCCCCCCACCAAGCCACGCCCACAGAACCGGTAGTAACAAATTTTAGATTTCATCCCTGGTTGATAGGTCTTCTCTTACCAATTCCTTGCCTACCTTGACCTATATTCCTGTTCTGTCTCCTATGGTGCTTCTTTTGATAGGTTGGACTATTTTTGATAGGTTGGATTATTTATTATTTACCATCTCCCATCAGTGGACCTATCATTTCCTTGCCTTGCTTCTTATTCCTTACATACTGAAAGAAACTTTTTTTGGCATTTTTGGCATTTTTTTGCATGTCTTAGTTCCTTGGTTCACCTTCCTATCACTTCATCAAGAAATATCACTCAAGTATTACCTTTTCTGCCTCACATTTTCAAGAATATGCTGTTTATTTTAGAATGGCCATGAATCACATACATATATTTCTTTTTCATAAATACCCAGCTCCCTGTTCAACCACAGCAGGTTTAATGGCATTTTCAAGTTACTTTTGGTTTGGAGAGTAAGGACGGTAGTAATGTCATTTCCTCCCACCCCCCAAATTAATATGCTGCCTCATGAAAGAAAATAAATGACTGCATTTAGGGAAATGACTATGGAACAAAATACTTCTGCTGAACTCCCTTTGGCAAATACCAAACTTGTTCTCTATTTCTCAAATGCAGTCTTCATGTTCTTCCCTAAATAATTGTTAGGGAATTGTCAGTCCTATAAAATGGATAAAAAGCAATGGGTGGAAGCTTGTCAGAGGGAGATCCAGCCTGGAAATGAGGAATTTCCTGATTGTAAAAACAATGAATTAGACAGCTTCACTCTCAAAGGTGGGGGTGCTCCATCCCTGGAGGTTTCCAAGAAAAGATTGGACTGTCATCTGTCCAGGGTAGACTCATAGGGGTGCTCTTGCCTTGGGCAGGGGTTGGACGAGAATATCCCTTCCAGCCCTATGATTCTATGATTTTATGAAAAAAATGTGTACTATATTTGAGGATCCTTGCTGAGTAAAATTGGACTACTGCATATGACAGCTGGCAGAAAGTCAGAGCTTTTTCTTCCATAGCAATAGTAATAGCTCTTAGACTTTTATACCACTTCACAGTGCTTTACATTCCTCTCTGAGCAGTTTACAGAGCCAGCATATTGTCCCCAACAATCTGGGTCCTCATTTTACCCACCTCGGAAGGGTGGCAGGCTGAGTCAACCTTGAGCATGGAACTGCCAAACTACAGGCAGTCAGCAGAAGTAGCTTGCAGTACAGCATTCTAACTACTGCGTCACCATGGCTCATATAAATGAATAGCTTTAACTGTTACTCAGGCACACATAATAGCTGATTTAAAAGCCAATGACTGAATCAGGC